GGGGGGGGCAGCCCATCCACAGGTGAGGAAAGCAATACCCGGGCTCGCGAGTCTCCTGGAGACACATCCGGAGGAGCTGGAGCGAAGCCTGAGGCACCGGCCTGGAAAGAAGCCTGCTGGCCCCGGACACAGTGCTGCCCTGCTTCGCACGGGCCCAGCCGCGCAGAAGTGTGGGCCTCCTTCCTCACTGCTCACTGGGCACTGGCACGTGCCTGCCTGCAGCCCTTGAACATACTGGCCCCTTGCTGTGGTCTGTCCCTGCTTACCCGCAGGCCCCTACCTCTGCCCTCACTCCCCGCCCTCTGCCCTGTGTCCCCCCCACTCGTCGGGACCCCCTTGCTGCTCCTCAAACCAAGTTTGTCAGCCTCAGGGCCTTTGCATCCACTATTCCTGCGGCTGGGGTGTTCTTCCTCCAGGTCTGCCTGGACAACTGCCTCCGCTCCTTCAGGTCTTTATCCGAATGTTCCCATCTCAGCAAGGGCTCCCCTGACTGCCCTATTTAAAAGGCGAAGCCCCGCTTCCTTCCCCTACCCCTGCCTTTTTTCCTCCATGGCAGTTGGCACCATCAGACACGCAACATCCTGGATCGTGTACTGTGTCCCCTACTAAAAGCTGAGTGCCGCAAGGGCAGAGATTCGTGCCTGTTTTGCTCACTGCTGTGTCCTAGGCCCAGAGCAGTGCCTGGCCCGTGGCAGATGCTCATACACACCTGCTGGATGACACCACGGGTGGGGGAGGGCCCTGCTTATTTACTGTTGTGTCTTCAGCACCCAGAAGAGTGCCCGGCACACAGTAGGCACTCAATAAAGGCACGCTGTGAGCGACTGTTCAGGGAGGCAGGAGCTGCATGCCCTCCTGTTGTGACCTCTGCCCTCCTGACCCCGAGGATGGCCCGCAGCGGGCGGGTGCCGCACCTGTGGTGATGCAGAAGTAGGTCTCGTGGGGCGAGACGTGGTGGATGCGGTGGTGCTTGCGTGGCAGGATGACATGCCAGTCCTGCAGGAAGGCGACCCAGCGCGGCAGCCCGAAGTACGTGTGCGACCACTTGTGGATCTGGTTGGTGAAGGCGCTGAAGATGATCAGGCAGAAGACGAAGCACTCCCAGGGGCACTGCCGCGCCAGGGCCTCTGCAGGGCAGGCACAGGCGTCACGCGAGGGGCGGGGGCGCAGCGCCACGCGGGGTGGGCCGCCAGCCTAGCCCTCACCGCCGCCTGGCAGCTCTCACCCCGGTCAGCACCCGGGACCCCTTCCCGAGCCACCCAGTCTCCCACGTGCACGGCCCCCTCAGGGCCTCAGGCCTTTCTTCTCCTGCCCAGGGAGCAGAGTGGGGGCTGCGCCCCCCCCCCGGGCCGGCTCAGACCCTGGCTCCGACGGCCCTCCGCTGTGTGCGTGTGGGTCAGTGACTCTGCCTCTTTCAGTCTCAATGTCCTCATCCTCAAGGGGAGTCAGGCTCCGTCCTGGTTCCCGCGGGCATGACTTCCTGAGGGAGTCTCTTCAGGAGACCCCCGAGGGAGCAAGGGGCCCCGGGCAGGTCTCGTCTCAGTCTGAGCCCGGGGGGCCCTGGGGCATTCGTGGCGCCACACAGTTGGCCCCGCTCAGAGGCGAGGGACCGTCTGCTGCAGGCTTTTCAGTCGAGGCCTCAGGCGGAACACAAGGAGAGAGGTGGGCCCTCCCCAGCAAGTCTGGAGAGAGCAGCCGGCAGCTGCCAGGAGGGTTGAGCACACCCTGGGGCAGCGGACTGGCAGAAGCCACAGCGCTCTCGGCGCTGCAGACGCCCCTCACTCTACCCATGGGCGCTGCTCCGAGAACCCGTGGGGTCAGGCTGTCAGAACAGGAGCTGGCCTGCCTCACCTCCACCCAGCAGATGAGGTAACAGGCTCAGTGCGGTGACATGGCTTGCCTTGGGCCAAGTGCCTCCAAGACGGGCAGGACTGAGTTCACAGCCAGCAGCCCTCCCACTAGGCAAGGGTGCAACCCAAAGCCCTGAGGCGGGGCAGACCATGAGGTGAACACGGTGTTCGTGGGGCAGCAAGTGGTGGGGACTGCTCAGCCAAGAGACGTGTCCTGCAGTCAGCTCCTGCGCCAGGTGGCCCCGAGCGGCCAGAGTAGACCAGACTGCTCACAAGAAGCTGGAGGCCCAGATCTCGTCAAATAACCCAGTTTCACATAAGGACAACCAAAAATATCTTTTTTTTTGAGTTGGAGTCTCACTCCATCACCCAGGCTGGAGTGCAGCGGCATGCTCACAGCCACCCCAGCGTTGACCTGCTGGACTCCGGTGATCCTTCCGCCTCAGCCTTCCAAGTAGCCGGAACTACATACACCACCACGTCCGGCTAATTTTTAAAAATTTTATGGTAGAGACAAAGTCTCGCCAAGCTGCCCGGGCTGGTCTTGAGCCCACAGGCTTAGGCAATCCACTCACCTCAGCCTCCCTCAGTGCGGGGATTACAGGCTGAGCCACTGAGCCTGGCCCTAAAATATCCTAACACCCTGAGAGGACACACACACACACATACATGCGCCAGGAGGGTCATGGGGGCGAGTCTGTCCCCAAAAGCCCTTCCCGCCCCACTGCCTCACCGGGGCTCTGAGTGCAGAACTTGTAGGCCATGTTTAGTAGCGGCAGCAGCGTCACCAGGCAGTTGTCCCCGTTGGTCTCAATGAAGTCGTGCCGCGTGATAGCCGTCGGGTCGATGTGGTGCTCCCGGAACGGTCGAATGAAAGCCTGGGGTGGGGAAGAGTCCAGCTGCCATAACCCTGGAACTCACTGGCTGGGGCTCGCTGCCCAGCCTTTGCCCCGTCCCTTCCACCCGGGACGCCCAAACTCTCCCACCAGGCCACTGACGCGGACCCCAACAGCCTGCAGGGCAGGTCGAGCAGCTATAGTGGAAGAAGGGTTGAAACGACCCTGGCAGGGACCTGGAGCTGGTACTGTCCCCTCTGGGCCTGTCTCCTCACCTGTGGGGGTTCACAGACAACCTCAAAGCCCAGGTGGGACCCTCTGGCCCCCTGCACCTGAGCCCCCCCCTCCTGGGAACAGCCACACCTTCTCCTCTTAGGACAGGCTGTTCTTTTTTTTGAGTTGGAGTCTCACTCTGTCGCCCAGGCTGGAGGGCTCAGTGAGATGCCCACAGCCACCGCAGCCTCGACCTGCTGGGCTCCGGCGATCCTTCCGCCTCAGCCTTCAAGTTGCTGGAACTACAGGCGCGTGCTATCACGCCCCTAATTTTTTTTCATTTATTGTAGAGATGAAGTCTCGCCAAGTTGCCCAGGCGGGTCTCGAACCCGCGGGCTCAGGCCATCCACTCACCTCAGCCTCCCAACGGCGTGGGAGTACGGGCTGAGCCAGCGAGCTGGCTCAGGCTGTTCTAATAGGACTCAGAAAGAACATGTGACCCAGGCCTAGCCAATGGGAGCATGCCTTCCCTCCAGCACAGTGACTGGCTGAGGGACAGGCATGTGACCCAAGCTGGGCCAATAGGAGTGGGCCATGGGACTTCGGCTGCAACTACAGGAAAGGAGAAATTGAGCCTGGCAGGAGAGGGACACAACTTTTCTCATTTCCTCAGAGCTGGGAGGGTGGATGTCCAGGCAGCTAGAAGCCACTTTGGCCACCTCAGAAGGGGAAAGCAGAGGCGGAGATGGAGAGAGACAGTCTGAAGAAGAAGGTCTGATGTCCTGCTGATCCAGCCACACCTTAAAGTAGCTCTAACCCCAAACTTCCCAGTTACATGAGTCAGCCTCCTTGCTGGCTTAATCCAATCTAGATTAGATTTTCAGCCACAACCTAAAACGTGTGACTAGTATGGAATAAAATCCAATAGGTCTGAGGCACGGGCCAGGCACAGTGGCTCATGCCTATAATCCCAGCACTGTGGGAGGTGGAGGTGAGAGGACTGCCTGAGCAACATGGCGAGACCTCGTCTCTACAGTAAGCCAAAAAATTAGCTGGGCGTGGTGGCGCATGCCTGTAGTTCCAGCTACTTGGAAGGCTGAGGTGGAAGGATCGCCTGAGCCCGGCAGGTTGAGGCTGCAGTAGCCGTGATCAGGCCACTGCACTCCAGCCTGGGAGACAGAGTAAGACTCCAACTCAAAAACCAAAACACAAAAAACCAAGGCACAACATGGGAAGCAAAGGAGAAACAAGGTGTAGTGTGGATCCCAAGCTCAAGGGGTCTGCAGAGAAGTGACCGGGCTGAAGTCACCCACGTGGCAGGGGCACAACTGGGTTCTTTACTTGCCTCGAGGTTTGACACGAACCCAGCAGGAGGTATCACCACTGTGCACCGGGGGGAAACTGAGGCGTGCGGCCAGCCAAGCTTTCTGACCACCCCAAGTCAGATGCTTTTGCTTCCACAAAATCCCAAGGGATTTCTGCTCTAGTCTTGGAGGACAGGTGTAAGGGACAGGCTGAAATAATGGGTCCCATCTTTCAGAGAGAAACTGAGGCTTAGAGAAGGGGCTCACCCAGGCCACACAGTCAGCCTCCTTCTGGGGGAGACAGGCCAGGTCGACATACGCACCTTCCCTACGATGGGCAGCTCCACAGAGCCCCACGTGTCAGCACCCCAGTGCACCAGGCCGGACAGGAAGTCGACAACGAGAGCCCCTGCAACTGTGGAAACAAGTGGGTGGCCCAGCGGTAGTGGAGTGTGAAGAGACATCCCTGCCACCCACCACCAGGCAGTCCCTCACTGATTCACAGGCTCACAGCTCACTCACTCACTCTTTGGTGGACAGGCGTCCTGCCTCAGCTTGGGAGGTTTCCTCCCTGAGGACGGAGCCTTAGAAATAATACCCCCGGTTGGAGGAGCCCCATTACCTGCTCTGCCCCTGGGGAGATGCCGGGACTCCCACTTGGAGCCTGGAGAGCATAAGTGGGCATGCACAGGGCATCAAGCCTCTCCCTACCAGGAGCTGGCTGCTGCTCTTTCTACGCACAGTCAGCCCACACAGGGAAGCTTGCTCTCCCCGGTGCTGCCTGGGACTGGGCAGTGGCCTGTGTCCTTCTGGGCTTGGTGCCAGAAAGCACCTCACCTGCAGACAGCAGCCATCACGCTCCCCTCCCCACCTTGCATCAGCAATAAGTGCGACCATTTGGTGTCCGGCAGCCTGAACAGGAGTGGAGTTTCCTCAGAGACTCCGACACCCTTCACTTACTTGAGGGCTCAGCCTGACGCAGAGGTTGAGGGCTTTTAGATGGCCACTCAGATCCCAGCTGTCACTCACTAGCTGTGTGACAGCGCACGTGCTCCTGAACCTCTCTGTGTCGTTTCCTCTTGTCAGACGGAAATGATGATGTCTAAAAGGAACACAGCCCCTAGCACTTACCGAGCACCTCTCAACGCCAGGCCAAGTGCTTACAAACTAGAGTTCAGGGAATTCTCACCATCTGGTAGAAATCAGTAGCATTTTGATCCCCATTTTACAGAGGTGGAAACCGAGGCTTGAGAGCAGAAGTAACAGGACTGAGGTCACACATGGCAAGTGGTACGGTAGAGCTCACTTGCCTTGTGGTCTGGCTTGAACACTGCAGGATGTGCCACCATTGTACGCATGGGAAAACTGAGGCTGCGTGGCCAGCAACCTGCCCACGACACCACCCGCCTCCCCTCAGGCACTGCACTGCTGGCTCGTTCTGTCCCCCCGCACACCTGCACACACCGCAGGGTCTTTGCGCTTGCTTGTCCCTCTGCCTGGAACGTTTCTTCTCAAGATGCAACACTGCTCCGTCCCCTACCTCCTTCAGGTCTTTATTCCAATGTTCTCCCTGGACGCCTGAGCTAAGTCGTAGCCCCTCGCCGTTCGGTGTGCTGTCTTTTTCTCCAAACACTCAGCACCTCTGACCGCCCAGCTGGGGGGGTTTACCATCCTGCCCACAGGGATGTCAGCTCTGCAGGGGCTGGAATTTTCATCTCTCCCATCTGTGGTGGTGTCCTGGCTCCTGGCACCCATGAGGAGCTCAGGAGAGCACAAAGTACAGAGCCTGGCACACAGCGAGCCTTCGGTTCTATTACTGCGGCTGCCATTCAGTCACTCGGCCAACCAAGCGCCACCCGTGAGGACCTACTGTGTGTCAAGCTGTAGGCCCAAGACGTGTCAGACACTGACATGGAGCTCCTGTCTGTGAGGAGGCAGTGGGGGGGGGGCGCTGTAAAACCCGCGTGGGACAAAGGCTGCTGGAGTGATAACAAACTCCCGTGGCTTCAGGCCTGCCCCTCCCAGACTCAGTTTCTCTGTGTGAACAGGTGGTTCGAGGCCCACGTTTTGAGTTTTGCCGGGGTCTTGAGCCCTTGGTGACAGAGGACAGAGGCCTGGGGGTGCTGTGGAGGCTGCAGCCCCTGGACGCCGCCCTGAAAAGGGGCACTCCTGTTGGAGGGGACAAGAGTGTGCGTGCAGGTCACATGGACACGCAGTTCTGATGCTGGGCCCCGTGACGTGGCAGCTCCTGAACAGACTTTCCAGAGGCCCGTGGCGTCGGTCACACAGATGCCAGCCTGGGAGGGGGTGGCGGGGATGACACCTGCAAATCCCTGGGGTATGGGCGGCGGCAGATAGCAGCTGTCCCTCCCGGCATGTGGAAGTCCCCGCTCCTCAGTGACCTCAGTGATGGTAACAAGGAGGGCAGGGTGGACCCAGGCCACCAGCAGGGTGGGGTGGGGAGGGGAGCGGAAGCCTCAGCCCAGCCCCCCTCCATGGGCCTCCCCACTGCTGTGGTGGGCCCCTCCTGGGCTCCCCAGCTGAAGCTGTCTTCCCGGCAATGCTCTGCAGTGCTCTCAGTCCTGTCTCCTGGTTTGTCTTTCTTTCACAACACCGTCCCCACTTCCTGGATGAAGAAAGCAGCTTAGAGAAGCCGACCCAGCGCCATCGAGCGGCTTGGAAGTGGCAGCCACAGGATGGGAGGAGGCCTGTGGCTCTGCCTCCAGGGCCAGCACCTTTCACGTCCCTGCAGTGGCCTGCGCAGGGCTCGAGCTCCTATTGCACACTGCAGATGCAGTGAACACCCTGCTGAAGGTGTTCTACTGAAGGGACAGGAGGCCCCGTGGCCCCGAGCTGTGGCAGAGCTAGGTCAAGTGCCAGGGGCCTCGCTTCCTGCCACCCACCTGCTGTGTGACCCTGGGCAGGCCCCTCGTCCCCTCTGGGCCTCAGTCTCTCCGCTTGCATAATGAGGTCAGTGAGGTATCTCCAGCAGCCGTCCGGCAGCTCTGACTAATGACACCTCCGAATGCTGCTTCCTGAGAAACAGCCACTGTCAAGAAGCAACTGGGCACCACAGGAGTGTGGCCTGGCCAGAGGCAGATCCAGGTTCCTTGCCCCCGCGTTCTGGGCTCCTGGTAGACTGAGACGAGCCCCTTCCTGTTCCCTGACCTCGGCCCACTCGGTGTCCTAGTGGGCCACGACCCACAGCAGCAAGGGACACGGGCCTCACACGGCTCCCAGTCTTGCGGCCGAGGGACACACCTGCCTGACCACCCCCAGTCACGACACAGACTCTGCTGACACAAGACAGATGGGCAGACGGACCCTCTGCCCACACCGGGCTCCCAGGCCATGACACCACGCCACTCCTCAACAACAGACGCTCCCGTGATGCTTTGCTCACAAAGATTCCCGGTCCTCAGGCCACAGCAGGCTGACTCCTGACGTGGAACATTCCAACACTCCAGCCCCGCCTCAGGCTCCCCACGCCTCAGTCTCCCTCCCAATCCCGCTCATGCAGCCGCGGACCTTCCTGTCCCCATAGACGGTTTTGCCTGTCCCAGAACTTCACATGAGCGGTCCCTATGGGACGTGCTCTGAGGCCCGGCTCCTGCCCCTCGTGTGAGGGCCTGGAGTCACCCGGCTGGTCATGGGCTTCAGCGGCTCGTCCTCTGTACTGCCGAGCAGTGCCCGCCGTCCGGATGGGCCCGGCGCAACTTATCCACCCGGCTGCTGCTGGCTGATGGGGATGCTCTGAATCAAGCTGCAGTGAGTACTCATGTCCCAGCCTGTGCACAGACATGTGCCCTCATCTCCCCTGGGTAAGATGTCAGCTGCGGCCTTTTTAAACTCGATATTTATTGAGCACTTATAGCCACCAGGCCCCGTGCCAGCATCTTGCATGCTTATCTCCAGTAATCCCTCAACGGCAGCAGAGCCAGGCCCAGGCCCCATCTTATCTCCTTACTCATCCTAAGCACTTAATCCTCCCAGATAATGAGATCGATGATAGTGAAAACAGTATGGATTAGAAAAACAATACTTGTGATGGCCTGGACAGTCACCGCCACCACAGTGGTCCCTTCCCGCGGCATTCGGCGGGTCTGCTCAGAGCTTTGTCAGGGGCTGGGGAGAGTCTGGGGTGAGCACGACTCCCCACTCCTTAAGTGTGGGCCATGCACAGCGACGCCCCCCCAAGAGCGTCTAGAAGGAAAGGAGGGGAGACTAACTCCTGTGGAGAAACCTGGCATTGGCCACTCAGCTGGTGACCCAAGTCCCACCGCAGTGGCAAGTCGTGTTGGCAGGATGCACGCTGGCTGTGAGGGGGTGAAAGTGGCACCTGGCCTCTGGGCTCTTCTTCCTACAACCCATGGCCCCATCTAACCACGAGAAAAATGCCAGACGCATTCCAGGAGAGGGCAGCCATGAAACACCTGCCAGCTCTCCTCCAGACGGCCAAGGTCATGGAAAGCAAGAAAAGTCCTCAACACTGAACGGACACAAGGAGCCGGAAGAGACATGACAACAAGGTATAATGTGACATCCCGGAAGGGATCTGAAAAGAAGGACATCAGAGAATAACTAAAGGAATCAGGATGAACCACAGGCCTCAGCCCATCACAGCATGTCGATATTGGCAAGAACACTGAAAAAACGTACCACGCTCAGAAAGATTTCAGATGTTAAAAACAGGGAAAACAGGGTGCAGGGATGACAGGGGAACCCTGTACTGTCTGCTCAACCCTCTATAAATGCAAAACTGCTCTAAAATAAAATCTATAGCCGGGCTCGGTGGCTCAGCCTGTAATCCCGCGCCTTGGGAGGCTGAGGTGAGTGGATTGCCTGAGCCCGCGGGTTCGAGACCCACCTGGGCAACTTGGCAAGACCTCATCTCTACAATAAATCAAAAATCAGCCGGGCGTGGTAGCGCGCGCCTGTAGTTCCAGCTACTCGGAAGGCTGAGGAGAAGGATCACCGAAGCCCAGCAGGTTGAGGCTGCGGTGGCCGGGAGCGGCCACTGCACTTCAGTCTGGGCGACGGAGTGAGACTCCAACTCAAAAAAGAAAAAAAAAATCTATTTTTGGAAAAGCCCACTATCTCACTTCATGTCTGCGAAGTAGGCCCATCCTTCCTGACTCTCCAGGGGAGGGGAAGGAATGGCTGAGGTCACACGTGGCGGGGGCAGGTCGGGATGCTGGCAAGCAGCCCGGGACCATCGCGAGGATCCCTCGAGACAATGTGACTTCAGGTAGCTGAGTCTTCAGGTCCAGGTCTTGGGAGGGAGATACTGACAGTACCCACCTCCCTCAACGACAGGATGTGAACAAAACGGGTTACTGCCAGTCAAGTGCCTGGCGGGCCCGGGACCCAGGGAGCCCTCCCCAAATGCAGCTACTGCGAGCTCCCTCTG